TCCTTAGTAACAGCGGTAAGGACACGACTCCCGCTGCTGCAGACATACTGGGTGTCACGTGCTTTGTGGACGTCAATCCTCACAATAACCCCGGTGAGGTGAGTCCTCTCCCTGTAACGGGAGGACGCGGAGGTTCGAGGCTTGGTAAGCAGCTCGGACAGAGCCCTTACCTTCTGCATTTTGTTGTCTTCCAGAACTTTCACTGATGGGGGGTTGACCTACAGACCTGCAACAGCACAGGCAAGGATTAAACTTCAGAATCAGGGCTGCCGTGAGGCCTTAGCAGCTGGGACAGCATCTCCTCCGACTTGGCGGAGAACAGAGTGCCGTTCTGTCCCATGCGGTGGCGGTGGAGTGTGGAGGACAGTCCCCAGAGCCCGGCACAGCCCCTGGCACACAGCAGGAACGCGGAGGGAGTTTCGTGAATGAAAAAAACTGGGGGTTTGAGATCGTTGCCTCTTGACAAACTTCTTTCTAAGTACTGTCGCTTTAATTTTTTTTATATTTTTAATGGTTATGTATTTATTTTGATAGAGAGCACACATGTGCATGAGCAGGGGGAGGGGCACAGAGAGAGAGGGAGAGTGAGAAGCCCAAGCAGGCTCCACGCTGTCAGCGCAGAGCCCCACGTGGGGCATGAACTCACAAACTGTGAGATCACGACCTGAGCCAAAATCCAGAGTCGGTCACTTAACTGACTGAGCCACCCAGGTGTCCCTAAAAAATCTGTCTTAAGTACACATTTGGTAAAGTTTACTTATTTTGAGAGAGAGAGAGAGAGAGCGTGCACACGTGAGAGCAGGGCAGGGGCAGAGAGAGAGGAGAGGGCGAATCCCATGCAGGCTCTGTGCTGATAGGGCAGAGCCAGACTCCGGGCTCAAACCCACTAACTATGAGGTCATGACCTGAGCCACAATCAAGAGCGGGAGACTGAGCCACCAGGAGCCCCTGATTTTTATTTTACAAACGAAGTAAGCTTAAACACGAGTGATCTGACCACCTTTCGCGTGGACACCAACACAGCGAAGTCCCGGGGGGAGAAAGCCCTGACTGTGAGCACAGTGTTCTGCACGGTGCCCACGGCGCCTGTGGCTTCAGGAGAGACTGAGGCCTGGGGCTTGCGCAGCCCCAGAACAAGGGCATCGAGGGGCCCTCTAGCACAGCCCCTTTTCTCTTCGCACCAGAATGCTGGCCAGAAAGGGATCCTCCTCCACCCAAGCTGTGAAATGAGGCCAAATCTCAGAGAGAGCACTGCTTCCTCCGGGAAGCCCTCCCTGACCACCGCCACCACGGGTGAGCCCAGGCTCTGTCCCCATCACAGCCCTCTGCAGCCTGACCACCTATGCATATACATCCTCCTGAGGGCAGGGGCTGTCTTGTTCCGCTGGCTGTCTGGCCCAAGCACAGTGCCCGGTACGCAGCAG